ATTTCTGTCTGACAACTTGCAATGTCAGTAAAAGCATCCAGATTAAATGAAGTTTCCATTGGTGTATCAAAAATGGTCTCATACTGGTGTTTGTGACTGTCATTCCTTGCTTCCAGTGATGTAACTTGACTGGAAATTAATGTTTTACTACCGGCTTCTTTCATCGGGTCTTGTCCACAACTCTGCAATGGTTTCAGCATTGCTTCCAGTTCCATCTTGAAAGTAGAATTCGTAACCTCATCTTCCAACTGCCACGCTTCATTATCTGAAGAGTCCTGCAATATTACCAGAATCTTAATTATGGATGCAAAAAAAATTCATAGTTTAAGGAGAAATATAACACTATACCTGTACAATAATACTAAATAAAGATGTTCATTTGGAATCAACAGTTAGTCCCTGCTATCCAAACCATCAGATTGTCCTCCTCATGTGCTTTTCAATATGACTTTTAGTTTACTTTTATCCTCTTTGCCACTGATTGGCTTGTTAGCCACTTCAGCGGTTGGTCACGTCTCCATTACGCACTATTGGCAAGTACTATGCATACACTGGCTTCTGAATGTTTCTGAACCTGCTCCAGTGCTGGTCAAGTCTGACCTTGAAACAGCTTACACTCGGTGCCATGACAACACTCTCTGGCAGGTTGTTCCACGAGTTCACAACTCTCACTCGAAAAAAGTTTGCCCTCACAGTTTTATAGACCTGTGGCTTCTTCAACCTTGAGCTGTGACCCCTTGTGGGATGGGCATCAGCTTCAGAGTATAAAACATCTATACAGTACTCTAATGTTATTAAAGAAAGCAAGAAAATAATTCATGTAAAAACCAGTTGAACACCATGATAATATACTATGATATTTCAAGGACATACAAACAGGCCTTGAGAAATGCCCATGATAATAATTTTGGGTTGAATTAAAACACTACAGGTTTTCCCTCACTCTACAAAATAGAATTAATCCTTAAGTTGTAAATGCATCTCAAAATTACTTACTGTATAATAAACCTACACTCAAAATATATTAAACATTCCCATCAAGTATTGTTCAATGTTTTAAATCAATGCGTATGTACAGGAGCAAAAAGGCTGTCTGTCATCCCTCATCTTTACGATTCTATGTTAGACAGTATGACAAAACAGATGAAGCATTTTGACAACCCTACCGAGAAAACAGGAGTTAGTGTTTGTTTTGAAATTCGTCTGACCCCTCCGTATGTGGATGGATGGTCAGACAAACAAATATACTCCAATACTGTACTTAAAAATGAAGGCATAACAACAAAAATATTTCACCTTGGTCATTTTAAGTACCTCGACGCCATCACACGTCCTCAATACAGCTAACTGGTCCTCTTCAATGAGGTCGTCTACACGGTCAATTACCAGACCCAGTGTTTCAGCCATGGTGTCCAGTCTAGTCATCACTTGAGTTATCTGAAGGTCCAACTCTGTCATGTAAAAATCCTGTAAAACAAACAAAAGGAAGAATAAATAAATAGGGAACAAGTTAATATATGGTGTTCCCTCGATGCCACCATACTACTATGTACTAATAATACTGTACTAATAACAAGAAAAAATTAATAATGCAGCAATAACATTAATCATAATACAGTAATGATAATAATAATAATACGCTCTTTTAAAAACCCCTTTTATCCTTGTGGTACCTGAGCAAAATTCTGATTGATAACCTGGGAAAAAGTATGAATGAATACTGTGTGTAAAAGTATCTATAAACCTAACCAACCTTCAAAATTTCATCAAATGCAAAATATTTTAATCTATTTTGATGTTAAAATAAAAAATGTTACACAGCATTATACAGGTACAGTAAAACTAGAGATATATCAAGATTTGGTATCTATATATACCTGTACTTTAGTTTATTACAAATCTGGCAAAAAATATCCCACCTTGTTGACACCCACACCACAGAGGTAGATGGGGATGTCTACCCTTTTAATTCACTGTTAATCAAATTGCAAACTTCGGTCTACAAATGCTTAAGTCCGCCACTACATATATGGACAGATATTTGCAGAATAATGTTTGTATTGGTGGTGAGTTGTTCAAAGTCACTCACAATAATAAAAAAAAATAGTAGTAATACTGTAATAATAACAATACCACACACACAACAATCGACACTTGTCAACGGTCGGTGAGACAAGATGTGCCCTGAAGGTGCTCCCCCTCCCCTCCCCGCTATATCCCAACGCCCTACCAGCCTTACTACACTGGGATTTATTCAGCAAAACATTCAAGTGATCAGTGCAATAAGTGATTACCATACAGTGTTCTGATAGTGCATCCCAAGGAAAAGCCAAACAGTGGGTACTTTGTCGGTCACCTTCAAAGTGCCAGTGACAAGGACCCGCGGTCACTCTGTACCATCTAAAGCGTGGGAACGGTTATCCTGATGGCAGTGTTATCGCGCGACTCAAGTCACTGAACATATTCCACGTGCGCAGCTGTAGACAAGGCCGTCATACACATAAGCCCATTAGGACCGTAAACTCCACTAGGAAACCAGAGAAGCCCACCCCTGACAGACCGTACCATTACACTAAGTTCCAAGGATATGGTATGATCTCCCGTCTTTACTGCTCTCCAACGTCACTTACCTAGCTAACAAGTTTGACGAGCTGGCAACCACAAAGAGGTCAGCCGCAGATAGCATCATTGCTATACGTGAGGCTTGGCAAATTGTGCCTGAAACGTGTCATACTGAGGGATATCAACTCTTTCATCACCTTCGTTCACATAGACTCGGAGGGGGCGTTTCCTTCTTCTGTCAAGATGACCTACGCCCGTCACACCTGGATGTTCAAGTCCCAGCAGAAATGGAAGCATTATGGATACGTGTTGTGCCACGGGCCCACCCGCGCCACACTGCTTCTATCATAATCTGTGTCATACCATCCGCCTCGCTCACCCACCAGACACACTCTTATCAATCATCTCATTACCACCTCAGAGCTAAGTACCCATGTGCCAAGTTAGTATTATGCAGGGATTATAATGAAATTGACCCCAGTGATATCCAGGACCAGCTCTCACTATCACAAGCTGTGAACTTCCCCACACACGGTCAAAATACCCTTGACCTTATCTTAACCGACTTAGCGGACCAGTACCAACCACCTCAACCAATGCCTCCTATTGGGTGTAGCACACGCCTATCAGTGCTCTGGTCCCCTGCTGCCACTCCCACTCAAGTACAGAGACCCTACATCAAGACCTACAGGCCGATTACTGACTCTGCAGTGTGTCTCTTCAGGCAGTGGATAGTTCACCATCCCTGGACTGAAGTACTTAGCGTGGATGACGTGGAAACCAAATGGATAAATTATACCAACACCATCACGGAAGCTCACCACCACTTCTTCCCCGAGAAGTCCGTCAGATCTCACCCAGCTGATTTGCCATGGATTACACTTCGGATCAAAAGACTTATGCAACAGAGAGATAGAGCCTTTCATCTCAATGACCACATCCGCTACAGGTCCCTTCGCAACCGAGTCATCCGCTAAATACGCACAGCAAAGAAGTCTCACTACCCAACCAAATTACAACACCTGAAGCAGACCAACATCAGTCAATGGTATGGTAAGCTTAAAGAACTCTGTGGACTAAACAATAAGACACACCCCCTCCCCTTCCTTAGCCATCTCACTATTGTTGACACAGCGGAGCAATCAAATAACCATTTCTCTACTATATGCCAGATGCTCCCCCAGCTTGACACAACCAATCTCCCTGCTTACCTACCAGCCCCCTTTCCCACTGACTTAGTAGAAGAATTTGAAGTAGCAAAACGTCTGGACAAACTAAAGTTAAAACGCTCCACCACCCCTATTGACTTACCAATGAAACTCTTCAAGGAGTTCTCCCTGGAGCTTGCTAAACCCCTCTGCTCCATCATCAATGCTTCTCTTAGTCAAGCCAGATGCCCAGCTGACTGGAAGACTTTTTATGTATCACCAGTGCCCAAGTCAACCAGCCCACAATCCTTAAATCAGCTACGACCTATTGCAATCACCCCAAAACCCAGCCTAATCTGTGAAAGTTTTGTGTTCGACTGGGCTTATGCTGATATTGCAGGAGTCGTAGACCCTCAGCAATTTGGTAATATGAAACTTCCTCCACCACTCACTGTCTTGTCAGCTTTCTCGACTACATATACCGCCATCTCGAGAAACGAAAAGTCTGTAGCTGTTGCCTTCATTGACTTCACTAATCCATTCGACCTAGTCGACCACAATTTAATGATCAACAAAGCTATTGACCTCGGGTTTCAAAGAAGTCTTATACCATGGCTTACAGACTTCCTCAGTGACCGACGCCAAGCTGTATGCTTACGAGGGGCTGTCTCCACCTTTCAGTCACTCACCTGTGGAGTCCCCCAAGGCACCAAGATGGGACCATCATGCTTCCTTATGCTTATCAATGATGCCCTAAGAGAAACCCCTGCTGGTTCCACCATTGGGATCAGCATCAACAATTCTGCTCCCGACTATACTGCCCTTCAGGATTTATTGAACAGTCTCCAAAACTGGGCCCCCAACAACCACGTCACCATCAACCATACCAAGACCATGGTTATGCACATCAACCTCTCCTCCGACGTTGTCGCACCCCCTTCCATTACTTTAGGTCCCAATACACTCTAGGTTGTAGATTCCACTAAGCTCCTCGGCGTCACCATAGACAACAAACTAAATTGGAAACCACACGTTAGTGAAGTTGTCAAATTCTCCAGTTTCCTCCTCCGCCGACTCAAGTCCCTCGGAGTTCCTGCACCTGAGCTCCTCAGTGTTTACTCAACATTCATACTTCCCAAGCTCAACTATGCCTCCCCTACCTGGTTTTCCTCCCTAAATGCCACACAAGATAAACACCTAGAAAAAGTGCAAAAGAGGGCATGCAAGATTATTTTCTCCCCCTTCCTACTCCACATCTCAAGAAGCGCTCAACACACTGACCCTCTCGGCTCTCACTGACCATTACCACGACCTCATCTACAAATTTGGTGAGAAGCTTCTGCACCATCCTCGACACCAGCTCCTACTACCACCCGAGAATTGCTGATTGACACCACAACCGCATCCAGCCCATACGAGCACGAACTGATCGCTATAAGAACAGCCCAGTCCCAACCATTGTACAAATTATCAATAACTTGTAATCAACCAGTGTATTCACTCCCAGTAAATCCTACCTTTTGCACTGTCACTATGTTGAAATGCCCTGTAGTTTGACCTTCTCCCCACCTAGTTATTATATCTCTTATTTGTATCACTTATGTTACTTGTATATTATTTGTAAATCAAGAGACTCATTCCCCAATTATGTAACTGTATATTTTCAGCCTTCACTGCTATGCTCTTTCAATAAACCGTTAATTATTATTATTATAATAATGTTATGCCGAGGCATAATTTTGTATTATAATCTTTTTAAACTAGATGTTGTGATTGTTTTCTGTCCCAAGCAGCAGTTATTTGGGGTAAATTTAATTAAATTTTCCTGTATATATTGATGTATTAATTATGTAAGAATATTCCAGAATGTATTGTATCATTTTTGTTCTGATTTACCTCTTATTGTAAGCCCAAATCATTCTAGAATTCTCCAGGCAGGTCTCGAGCCGACCTCCCGCGTCTGGACATCGCTAGTTCTAGGCATCTGACGAACCGTATATTAAAAGCTGGTGAGGCCTGCCTAGGGGCAATTAGTCGCTCACCTCTATTCATAGTGTAAAGACTATACCTAGAAGAACAACTGAAGACAATTGTTGTGCAATTATTGTGAAACTTTTGTTATTAATATAAAGTGAGAAGACTAAGGGAATGTAAACTGGTAGTGTACTGACTCTATATTTGAAGTGTGGAGTTAAGCTGTGAAGACATTACCCTGTTAACAGTGTTGTGAAGAATTAGTGTTTATTATAGAAGACTACAGTGCACAAGTGTGTTTCTGTGACCAGGTGGAGATCTACCTGTCTGTTGTTTGTCTATACGCCGATACCGATCATTGGGAAATTACCGGAGACTGGCGGGACAGCCAGTGGTAATTCAACAAGTCTTGCGAGGTATCTACCGCTCTGTACGTACTACCCTAGCCGCTGGTGGAAGGAGTGGTAACAATCACTATAACTTACAGGAGGAGTATTGTCCTTGGGTTGATTCACCATTTCTTCCTTCTTCCTCCTGACTTTATGCACCAGTGAGCGACATCTTCCCCTTATATATGAAGTTATGTCCTTCCATTTGACTTCTAACCTGAAACAAAAACAAAGATGGTTAATAAATACTGTGTTGATATTTCTCTGTCATTAGTACAAAGGTAGATGGTAAGTAATGGATTTGGTTGTTTTTAACATTAAGAAACAAAGATGATTGAGTGTACTGCATTGCTTCTCTCTCTCTCTCTCACACATGCATGACCAGCCTACACAAACACATCCAGCCCACACACATGTACAAACTCCACCCACAAACACACACTCAACCAGTGGCGGCTCGTGACTAATTCGTGGGGGTGCTGCTTCAAAAAATTTTTAAGAATTGTTTTAATATTGTGTAAGACACAAACACACACAGAAATACAGTAGGTATATATATATATAATGATAAAAATAATAAAATACTAAAAGTATTGTAAAAGTACAAAAAAAAACATTTAACACTTACAGATAAAATTCTCCAGTCTAGCTTGATCCAAATTTATTTAAAAATAAAATCCATTCTTCTTGTTTTCTTTTGAGCGAAAAGGTCAACAACTTTCTCATTGATGTTTGGATGACTGTTAAAGAAAATTTTCTCCTTTGAAATCATTGCAAGTGCATTTAGCCTTTCCTAATTCATAGTGCTCCTCAGAAAAGTTTTTACTGTATTCTTTTTAATGTTGAAAAGCAGCGTTCAGGCTCTGATGTAGTCATAGGAATTGTCAAGAGGATTTTTATCAGTTTTGTAATCTCACTAAGAACATCATCTAAATTATTTTCCAAGATAAATTTCAGCAGGTTAATTAACCTGCAATATTCATGCATATCGGACCTACTGTAGAATACTCTTAAGTTCAGTTTCAAATTTTTCTTTGTCACTCATGAGATATACTTCAGTGGTCAATCCTATCTCTTCTGTAGGCAGTTTATTCTTAAAACTAGTGAAGCTTTTCTTGTTGAATAATTTAGCAACTAATAATTGTTTAGTGAAAGAATATCTCTCCACTATATCAACATATATACAGTCACATACTTCCTTTGCTTCAGCCATGAGCGTCTTTGAAGGATTCTCACAGTACTTCGAGTTTCTTATTTCTAAAATAGCAGCTTTGAAATTTGTTATACATCCATGTACTTTAAACACATCAATTTCTCAAGACTGCATTTGGTTGTAAATTACTTCAACATGAGGCATGATCTGATGAAAAAGCTCCGACCAGAACATGAATTTTTCATTATTCAGGTAGTGCAAAATTCCTGTTGCTTCTGAAATGGTTCGATCTGCATTTACCGTCGACTGGATTTCAGCAAGGCAGCTTTTTAAAGGTTGCAAATTTTCATGAACTTTTTGTTCACGGTCCGTATGTTAAAGTTCCACCTTGTAGAGAATGGGCGCGGAATGCTGACGTTCATGTGCTTATTGAGAATGGATACACGTTGTGGTGATCTTGAGAAAAATGTTGGTATAGCCAAAACGTTAGAGAAAAATATTCTTGAGTCCCGCATAATACTTGCTGCATTTCTCATAATCAGATTCAGTTGGTGCGCATAACAGTGAATGAAATGTGCATTATTATAAACTGCTTTTATTTTTGCCTGAACACCCCCTTTTTTGCCTTTCATGACATTTGCGCCATCAAATGTCTGAGCTATCAGTTTTTGTCTATTTCCTTGAAGGATTATATCTAACTGCTCTAGAATACATTTTGATATGCCATCTGCAGTTTGATTTTCTGGAATAAAGAATCCCTAAAAACGATCAAATATTTCTTCCTTCAGCACGTACCGTAGAACAAATACCATTTGAGTGTGTTCTGAAACATCTGCTGTGTCATCAGCCATGACAGCTACAAATGAAGCTTCTTTAATCTCTTTCTTTATCTCATCATGGTATACCTGCAGCAGGCAGTCAAGTATCTCATTCTGAATAGTCTTAGAAACACCTGTGAAGACTGTACTTGTTTCTAAATGGTTCTTTAAATCTGGGTCTAATTTAGATGCAAAATTTATTAATACCCTAAATACACCTGGATTTACTGAATCATCTTTTTCATCATGTCCACGTAAAGGAATTTCTAAGTTTCCACAAAATGTAATGCAGTCTATTATCTTGGATAAAATTTCACGGTTCTTGGTAACCTTCCTGTTATGCTCATTGATGATAAGTCTATAGGCTTCACTAAGTTTTTCTTTAAGTATTTACTCTTCCTAAAGTGATAGTGAAACCACTCTTTCAATATGCTTCTTTGACTTTTCATGTTTTTCAGTTTTTTCTTTCATTTTGTTTATATTTCTAAAGCCGTCTTTTGTCCAAGTTAAATCACTTCCAATTCCAAACAACAAACACGAAAAACAAAATAGTGTATTTTTTACTTCACAACCACAGAGCCAATTTCTCCTTTGGTACCATTCTGAATGTAAGCTACGAATATACCTCTTACTGTTGCTTATTCCTGGTCGAGATATTTGAATATCAGGTGAGGGACGGCCTCTTGTCTTAATAGCAACCTTCTCATGAAGAGACAACTGTGAAAATTTAAGTTGTTGAAGTTCACTCACTGTCACGGAACTTGTTTCTTGGGAAAACAAGGAGGCCATGTTTAATTAACCGTCCCTACAGTTAACTTCCACTGATGATGGCCACCGTCCCTACAGTTAACTTCCACTGATGATGGCCACCGTCCCTACAGTTAACTTCCACTGATGATGGCCACCGTCCTGGTCCACTGATATGGCCACTTCCACTGATGATGATGGCCACCGTCCCTACAGCTAACTTCCGATGATGGCCACCGTCCTACCCGGCTGATGATACCGCTAACTTCCACTGATGATGGCCTACTAACTTCACTGATTCTTCCACTGATGATGGCCCCCTACAGCTAACACTTGATTACTGATCACTACAGTTAACTTCCACTGATGATGGCCACCGTCCCTACAGTTAACTTCCACTGATGATGGCCACCGTCCCTACAGTTAACTTCCACTGATGATGGCCACCGTCCCTACAGTTAACTTCCACTGATGATGGCCACCGTCCCTACAGTTAACTTCCACTGATGATGGCCACCGTCCCTACAGTTAACTTCCACTGATGATGGCCACCGTCCCTACAGTTAACTTCCACTATCAAACTTAACATTAAAGTTACTTATACATTTTCAAGCTTTTCAATCAGTTTAAAACTACAATACTAAAAAAAATCTAAAAAATAAATAAAAAAGACTCCTGTACTGTACTTACCCCGGCTTATCGACATATTTCTTGCGAGCATACAGGAAGGCAGCAATGTAGAGCGCTCGAGCCACTTGGTACAGCAGAACATAGGCCACCAAGTAGTAAAGATACCCCAGAAAGGACACACAGCCCGACGACTCTCTCTCCACCTCTGTAACGACGTAAACACTAGTTGGTACAGCACAGACAATGGAAGAGTTGCAAGGATGGAAAAAATAGATGGTAAACTATCTCATTATTATATCAAACTAATTTATTTCTTAACTATATATGCGATACTTTTCTTATTTACATTATTAAAAAAATTATCCTATGTCAAGATAATTTACAAACGGGCATACAAAAAAATAATTAAAACAGGGAAAAGTATATATAAAAGAGGTAATTTAATTGCTCTATGATGAACAATAAACAAAATATTAAAATCCAACTAAAAGATTTGGTTGGAAGGGATGGAGGAGAGAAGATGGAGGAGGTGAAGAAGAAGAGATGGAGTAACAGGAGGAGAAGGATGAGAAAGAGAAAGATCATTTAGGTATGAAGATAAACTGTCTGACTCAACTCACTCGTTAAGAAAGGTAGATGCGCCCAGGTGATTCTGAAGAGTGTCAACAGCGTCTCGGCAAAAGAGTGACATTCCCACAGCACTTGATTGAACCACAGGTATCCAAGGCATATGCAACAAATCATCATAACTCCCAGAATAAAACTGTCAGAGAGAGAACGGGAAATATAACATGGCCGTATTCTAGCCTTTTTGTTATTGGGGACGACGCTTTTAATATCTTAACTAACACAGGATGTTTAATTCACTATTGAGGGCGTACAGAAGCGGTTAAAAGTTAAGTTATATTTACATTCTTCTATCAGTAAGTTGTCCTTATATATTAAAAAAAATATCTTCTTGTATCATTCACAGTATTTTTTCACCTAATACACAGCACATCTTTTAACAGCACTGGAGGGAATAGAACACATCCTTACCTTATACACAGCACATCTTTAGCAGCACTGGCCAGTATTAGCCCAAGGCGACGTAAACGAGGCAGATATCTCATCAGGCAGAGACAACGCAGCAGATGGACTGTTAACATGCCTCCAATCAGGGCTTCCAGGATCTGAACATAAAATAATGCAAGAATTTATAATCATGCTCTCGGGGCAAAATTTGGATAGTGTTCTCAAAATTATAGGAGTAAACTGTCTCCACATTTTAGTATCACAAGATTATAGTAAACTGTCTACACATATTAAGCAAGTAACCTATTCACATACAGTCTCAAGAACAATTATTACAATTACTATGGCTAAGAATATCACTTACATTATCCCAAGTCGCCAGACCCGTAAGGTTGACAAATTTCTTGAAGTAGGCGACTCTCAGCTGCCACATCGCATCTTCGGCTATCTGTACGCGCAGCATCAGGCACACCATGTAACTCCAGCTTAAAACGGTCATAAGTACATCCAGCAATCCCCAAAAACACTTCCAAATCCTGGAGGAGAGAATTTTCGATTAACACACAATTGGTTTTTAATCCCAAGTTTTCCTTCAATAATTAATACACAATGCCAGCCAAGAACATCGTGGTTGGTTCCAGTATTTATGAGTGGGGGAACAGACAGACAGACAGGCATACAAACTTCCTCAGTGACCGAAGCCAAGCTGTACGCTTCCGAGGGGCTGTCTCCACCTTTCAGTCACTCACCTGTGGCGTCCCCCAAGGCTTCCTTATGCTTATCAATGATGCCCTAAGAGAAACCCCTGCTTGCTGGAAATATGTCGACGACTCCACCATTGGGATCAGTGTCAACAACTCTGCTCCCGACTACATCGCCCTTCAGGATTTATTGAACAGTCTCCAAAACTGAGCCACCCACAACCACGTCACCATCAACCATACCAAATCCATGGTTATGCACATCAACCTCTCCTCCAACGATGTCCCACCCCCTTCCATTACCTTAGGTCACAACACACTCCATGTTGTAGATTCCACTAAGCTCCTCAGCGTCACCATAGACAACAAACTAAATTGGAAACTACACGTCAGTGAAGTTGTCAAATCCTCCAGTTTCCGTCTCCTCCTCCTCCGCCGACTCAAGTCCCTCGGAGTTCCTACACCTGAGCTCCTCAGTGTTTACTCAACATTCATACTTCCCAAGCTCAATTATGCCTCCCCTACCTGGTCTTCCTCCCTAAATGCCACACAAGATAAACACCTAGAAGAAGTGCAAAAGAGGGCATGCAAGATTATTCTCTCCCCTTCCTACTCCACATCTCAAGAAGCGCTCAACACACGGACCCTCTCGGCTCTCACTGACCATTACCACGACCTCATCTGCAAATTTGGTGAGAAGCTTCTGCACCATCCTCGACACCGGCTCCTACTACCACCTGAGATCCCTGGCCCGAGAATTGCTGTTCGACACCACAACCGCATCCAGCTCATACAAGTATGAACTGATCGCTATAAGAACAGCCCAGTCCCAACCATTGTAAAAATTATCAATAACTTGTAATAAACCAGTGTATTCACTCCCAGTAAATCCTACCTTTTGCACTGTCACTCTGTTGAAATGCCCTGTAGTTTGACCTTCTCCCCACCTAGTTATTATATCTCTTATTTGTATCACTTATGTTACTTGTATATTATTTGTAAATCAAGAGACCCATTCCCCAATTATGTAACTGTATATTTTCAGCCTTCACTGCTATGCTCTTTCAATAAACCGTTAATTGTTATTATTATTTAGACAAGACGCAGAAAAAAGGGCAAATCTAAAAGCTTTTCAAATAATGAAAAAATATTTATAAATAATAATACTGTACTCATAACACCAATAACAATAATAATTCTAAGAAAAAATCAACATCATTGTGGAAAGTTTCTACCCTTAGAATGTGTGTTTCAAACCTGCTCGGAGCTGTGTAAGCCTTGGTTGAGCTGGGGAGGGCCACAAGGGGGTAATTGACTTGTGATATTTATTACAGGATTTAAAAAAATTTAAACTATGGATAAATTACAAGAACGTATACTAATTCCATAAAAATATAAAACAACATGGAAATACCATATATTGTAGTGTACATTTGGGGAGGAAGGACGTCCCAGTTTTTTTATATAAACACGTGGGCTATTGGATAAGTCCAAATATCCAGACAACCAGGACGAGGATACTGCTTGGAAATTGGTCTTCCTTATGAACAATGCCTCAAGTCTCCTCCTGACAATGTGTTTTCAGCAAAGTGTAATTTCTTTCATACGTTAGTGATACCTTAGTGTGAGGGCGTTTGGGCTTGGGAGGAATGAGATAAGGTGAGGCTCGTAAATTCAATATTCATTAAAACACTAAGTAAAGAATAGTTTCCACAATCGTCAATAAATCTAAGAAAAAATCAACAACGAATGAGTAGGTTTCTTACTTGAAGCGACAGGTGTAGACATATATAGTGGTGTGGTACAGGTAGTACATAGCAATGGCCAGCAACACTATCTCAGCCACCATACACACAATCGACCAATCACTGCTGTACCTCTCAATATGGGACGACCACGCGCTTGTTTTGGTCTGTAACATACAAAAAAATACCGTACTGTACCTGAAACACTTTGAATGCATAATTGGGTCAGTCAGTCAGTAGGTCATATCAATGGGGTCAGTTGCTAACCACTATTATTGTATCTAGTTGGGCTAAGGCTGTTACTGAGATGGTTAAGGTTAGTTCATATGGTAATTCGTATTTGCTTAATTTATTTACAAAGCCATTTTAAACAACCTACACACTGAAGAGAGAGAAAAGAGAGGGGGAGGGGGAGAAGGGAGGGGGGAGAAGGGAGGGGGGAGAAGGGGGGGGGAGACGGGTATACTCTCACTGTGGTTAAACAACTCACCTTAGCTCCGGAAAGTGAGGGAAATTCCGCCAACAACATAACGGTGGTGTACAATTTCGTCTGAGGATGGTAGAGGGTGAAGTCCGTGACCACCGCCCGCGTCATGTTTTCATTGAGCCAGTCGCTCCCTTGCAGAATCATCAACCACAAGATGGTGATGAACCGCGAACCGCTCAGCGACTGTTTGTGTGGGGTATAGCTGTATTGGCCAAATAATCCATAGGTGACTGCTAGGAAGTGTGCGTCCCATTCATATTCCTTATCCATGTCCAATCTGAAGCTGAAGAGGTGAGGCACTTCGTCTATGTAGTCCGGAAAACACGTTTTCACCTTCAAGAGATCCGCAAAGGACATGTTGCCGATTTTCACTTTGCTAGCTTCGCATTCCTGGGAGTAGATGTCATATTTCCGAATCCTGGGCATCCCGATCACGATGCTGTTGGTGTCACAGAATATACAATCCGTGCTGTACGTTTTGTCCGTGTTATAGGTGAGGGCCAGAAGTTCGGTGTATGCCCACTTCCACCAATCTTCCTTAGTATGGATATGTTTGAACTTCATGTAATTCTTGTTTTCGACGGTGTTACAGGAATCTCCGTTTGAACCGATGCTTGTGCATGCGTCTTCATAACGAGCAGAGTCCAAGCACGTCCCATTCTCTAAAGCGGAGTATACGGCCCTGTTCAATTTGTAACTCTCCTCGATGTTAGAATTACTTGCTATTATTATCAGCAGGGCCAGGAACAGCAGGTGGCCCACAGTGCTACACAAGAGGCTGGACACGTGCTCTCGCCGTAGTTCTTTCTCCCGGCACTTCAGCAGATACTGTTCACTGGGCGGGTGGGCAAATCTGAGATCCCGTGTCCTCTGTCGTTCCTCCAGCACTGAGAAGAGAGAAAATCCGTACGAGTCATTAAACAGAACTAATTTTCTTTAAGCCACACCCTCCCCCCCCCTTCAACTCTCACAATGAAAAACCATGAATGTATAAGTTATGGTGAACAACATTAAAAAAGACCTGTAAGTATGGTAAATAATGCTTCATGTTTGTGTGCTGGACTGATATCTCACCCACAACTAATTAAACCAATCCATACAAGTACAAGACTGTGTGTGTGTGTGTAATAATACCACACCGCATACAGACAAACTTTTCAGCCCACCAGTTGTACAGCTCTACTCACATTTCTCACTGTTGGTATTTTTCCCAGAATAATTTTGCCTCAGCAGCACAGTCTGATAGCGGTTCCAAATAGCCACCACTTGATCCAAAGGGACGGTCACACAGGAACTGATGCAGCCTCGACTCCCGAACCATCGATACATACACACCTACAAGATTAATAACATTTTAAAAGTGTTCTGCCAATCACATTACTGTTTATCCTTCCTGTTATGAAATACAGATGGCAGATTTCACATATACATGTTAATCTTTGTAATATCTTAATTTTACATAAGAGGATCACAATTTTAAGTCAAATTAACATCTGAAACATTGTAAAACAAAAAAAAATCCACCCATTCTGAATTGTGGCATCTTTGATTTTCTTTCTTCTATTAATATACAGTACCTTAAAAACATTATACAGTACTAATTAATGATTCGGAAGAACGTAATTTGTCGTCGTGAATAAGAGACTTTTCTTTATAAATAACAGTGTCAATATTTCACAAAGGTAGATGTTTGGGCCATGGATATTTAGTTTGAGCCAGGATAATCTAACCAAACCTAACCATGGCCCAAACATCCACCCACAATATTTCCCACAATCACCTTATATAATGTGTAGATCACTATAACGAGAGGCTGCATAACAAACATGGAACAGCACAGTGTTATGTAGATGATGTGCGCCCAGAGGGAGCCGTAGTCCACAGACATTCCTGAACCTTGCACGAACAGCGTCATACAACACATAGCTGCAGGAATAAAATATACACAATGAGTAACAATATGTCCCCATGTGTTTTTAAGTCGAGTTGCAACATCATACTGCATAGGTGACCTTAGACTCCTCAGTATTGACCCCATCTTCAAAAATCATACACCACATGACCTTTGACCCTTCATGATTGACCCCATCTTCAAAAATCAAACACCACATGATCTTTGCCTTTTGACCCCTCATACACCACGAAGATAAAATAATACCAGTCAGCCATACTATACTAACCCGCAAAGAAACAGCACACGATCCATCCAACGCACTGAGAGAAGATGAACGTCATACTGGACGACATTCTCAGTTCATCATTCTCGTCATCATCATCGTCATCATCACCATCATCACCATCCCAACCGTCCTCCTCTTCTATGGTGTTTCTTCTCTTGCCTTTTCCTTTCTTATTCTTAGCCAGGAAGTGAAGGATGTAACTGAAGGACCTACGCAGCTCGGAGAGGAAATGAAAGATCGTCAGGGAGCATTTCTTGGTACTAGCTGCTTCGCGGTTGTCGTTCATAATGTTTGGCACGGTCGTTAGTTGTGCCGTGGTGGCAAGTGGGTCGACCGAGTTCCTCCTAAATTCACTCTCAACAGGTGGAGCTCTGGGGTCATTATCGGCATTACTTCGAGATCGCTGAGTGACTTGCATGCCTTCCTGGTTTTGCAACAACACCGGATGAATTGCGTCCGTGTTTGTAATCTCCACAGACTGGGCCCAGCTGGCTAGATTCCTCCACACTTGAGACTGGGGGTTATACACCTCCTCCTCAAAGCTGTCCTCCTGGTCGCTCATAGTTTGTGGGAATGTTATTATTTCTCTAGTGGCCCTTAAGGTGTCTAATACACTTTTGGAGTTGTATTCTTTTTCTTCCTGTAAAAAAAATAAAAATAAAATAAAACAAATATAAAACCAACATTCAATTATCGGCCATTAAAAAAGTTTCTATCTACCGGTCATATTATCATTATTTTTTTATATATTTAAGTAGTATATGTTAGATTACACACACACACAGAAGCAAAGTTTATATAATAGTGTGAAATTCATTTAAGGAAAACTATTCTCAAATAAATTCAGTGTCATTCATTCATTATTTCAATGTTATTCATTCACTCACTCATTCACTGCCAATCATTCATTCATCCACTCCCAATCAATCATTCATTCACTCACTGTCAATCAATCATTCATTCACTGCCAATCATTCACTCACTGGCAATCATTCATTCATCCACTGCCAATCATTCATTCATCCACTGCCAATCATTCATTCATTCACTGCCAATCATTCACACTCCCAATCATTCATTCACTGCCAATCATTTGTTCACTCATTCATTTGATCACAGTCATTCACTGTTATTCATTTGTTGCACATTTCTCTACAGCAACAACTGTACTCACCAGCCTATTGCTCATTTTGAAGATCATCTCCAAGAGCCACTGGACTGGGAGGAGAATCATGGCAATCATGGCACCGTAGAACAGGGACTCGATGTGCATGTCTGGGACCATCATAGTGTGTTCGTTGTTTACCATCTGCATACAGGAGGAGATTTAATACCATTAGTACTTCCTTGTGTATGGGGTCCCCTCTGAGCTGAATAATATCATGTGTTATCTAAATACAATGTTATTAGTGGTGTCCCTGTACTGAAGGGGGTGGTGGAGATGGTCTACTAACCCCTTGTATATGGGGTCCCCTCTGAGCTGAGCAAATGATCTATTAGCTTCACAATAACTACTAATAACACCCATATGATCTTTTAATAATCAAGAATCCCCAAGTTTGCTACAAAATGAGACCAGACAACTCACCTGCACAAAACTGAGAGATACTGTTCCCATACACAGACACACAATCAAGCATATGGTGAGTCTCTGAAGACGGTACAGCTTGGAAGTGTTGGAGGTAGTGAGCAGAGACGTCCACAACATGTGTTCACTGGCGTACTGAGGCAGGAAGTGCTCAAAATCCTGTGGGTGAAAAAAATAGAAACAGTAAGTTCATGTATCAAAGAAATTAGGTACAGGGTACTGGTATGTATTTATTATTTCATTAGTGCATAATGTAACCTAATGTTAACTTAATCTAACCTTACCAGGTCCTAATGGGCCCTGAAACTTATGGACCCCCTAATCAATACAGTATAGCTGTTAGATTAAATTTAGGTCTATTAGAACTAAGGGCCAATTGCAAGAACTTCTTTAGTGTACACAATGCTGTGGTAGCCCCATGGTTGGTTTGCAAGAAGCACTTGGGGCTTTAAAAACAAAAACATTCCTATAATCAGGTGGACACAAGTTGGAAACATTATCTCAAGGTTTCATTTTTTGTAGATAACTGGCCTTTATACTTGTATAAAATGGAAGTAAAGATTTTTGGCACAAAGATAATTTCCTGTTTGATATAAAACTAACAGTTATGGTGATATTTTTCAAGATTTTTAACCCAAATCATCTGTACAGTGAGTTCATCACTGTCATAGCAAAATTATAATACCTAATACTGTACTTTGTTATATTATACTGACTTCATCCACAGAACAGACCATAGTTCTCTTTATTACACTCACCCAACCCCAAGTTCATGAAAAACTTATTACTTTATTGTTAGATTTAATACGGATAAAGAAAGGAACAGATACTACACTCTATTCCTAAGTTCTTATGGTTGTCACAGGCTTTATTTACCTTTATTCACTGTAAGTGATCGTATTTCATACCCAGAATTGGCTTATAATCCAAGAAAATAGGAATATGAGGTGCATCTTTGCTTGGGATTCAAGTTTTTCATGCTCGTAAATCGTGTACCAAGAGTAAACGTTTCATGCTACTGACAAAGTTTTGAGGGTGCAAGCATACCAACCTCCCAGTCTTCCGCCAGTTGGTACACCTGACTACACCACGATGACGTAATAACAACAAACGACAGTCGGGAACCACCATAGCCATTCTTGAATAATCACTTAACTTTTCTCCCATTGTATTACGGCTTCCGGGATACCACAGCAGATCTTGCATAAGGCCGATGTGACCTACAATATGCACAGCTTTTTTTCCCCCACAAACAAAATAAAAAATTTACCTGTATAAAAGTTGTTGGACTTTCCAGAGTGATTTCCCTCTCCACCTTGGCATCATCCGCCTGCACCGACAACCAGCGATAACAGGGGTAGGCATACCTGGCCCCCAGAACCAGGTCGGCCACACTCGTTTCGCACACGTACCACCCCGATTCACTTCCCCCGCTGTTGTCGTGCCACACTTGAACCTTGAGGATGTCACCGAGTGGTTCAGGAGTTCTGGTGGAGAAAGGAAAAAGGAATTATTTTAATGAATCAGGATAAGTCAAAGAGAAAAGATGTCCCTAATGATTTCTGATAACTAACATGGGACAGCTTGCATCCGCAGTAATTGAAACAATTCTTTCTATCCTGCACACCAAATATATGTTCCAGCATTAGCAAGTGTGACCAATAGTGTACATAATAGCATTCCTGCAGTTGCTGTACATGGCTTGGGGTACAAGGTAAGAGCAATGTCCTTCGTTTCAGCTGGCAATGAACAGGAACCATTTTCAAGGTGAATTCAACAACAGTCAGCTTTACAGTATAGTCATACATCAACAATATACCATTACATGTACTAAGACCTAAAACACAGCCGTGGAAACTTGTATAGTATATTTGTAATCTAAACATCCAAGGAATGTGTAATGGATTCACACTGCTGCAGATACTTACGTAAGAATAAACGTACAGAGGGCCCCACGCGTAAACAGCTGGCCTGTCTGCTTGGACTGTAGCTCCCTCGTCTCACTCATGCCGTGTGTCCCGTGAAGAATGGCGTATACCTGGAAAATACCACAATGCCACTATAGTATTTAATTATATACTCTATAGGATTTAAATATATAGTTCAAGGAAGTTTATGCCTTTAACATCTACAGATAGTTAAATTATATGTTAATGGTCTATCTAAACAGATTAATTAGTATTTAAATGACCCGTAATAGTCTAATTAGTGTTATGTAACTAGTCAATACACTATCCCTATGTCTGAGGGTTGGTGACCATAGCCCCCCTCTCCACTCAGGTTCTGCATCAATCCAACTTTTTATATCATTCATCCATCAGTTTGTCTTCCCTTTGCCTTCCTACCCACTAATATATCGATCATCATCCACTCATCCCTTACTCCATAATCATCACACATTTCCTTTGAAGTTTGGACCAGTCTTAATAGAATCAATATTTCCCCCAATCAGTGCAACTTACTCTGCCATAAACTGATTGACCCCACAAGCCATTCCCTTATATTCCCCCCCCACCTCTTCAGTACCATAGTTTAATATAGTCAAGCATCCTTCACCATTTTCACACCACCCGGTACATTGCAGAGACAAGTGAAGTAAATGCCAAATGCTTCTACTGCAACAGGTAAATCAATAGTCAAGTATTTTTTGTCAAATATCTGATTAACTTATCAGGTCCTCGCTGACTTAAAGGTGCAGACACCGCCGGGGAATGAAGTGAAGAGAGAGAAAACACACACACACACGCACACCACTCAGTGTGTTACTAAATATTAAGTGAGCTAGCTAGTGGTGTAGGTGCCCTGCAGTGCCACATCCCACGTACAAACAAACACCCCGCCTCATATGGTGCCAGCCTGGATAGTTCTTTTGAAATTGATATTGACACAGTATAAAAACACAGATACAAGTAATAAACTGAGAAAGAAAGAGAAAAAAAGAGTAAAAACAAAGAGAACAATGAAAGGGAGAGATAGATAACAGAACAAAGAGAGCAGGAGACAAAAACTAAACTAAATTAAATAAGTCAACTTACCTTCGCCGTGGTGCCAGCATTCCACTGTGTCCCGGTCTTAATCGTCAACAAGTACGCCCACTCGTGCTGAGGCTTATTATCCCGCAACCAAATATTTCTCCGTCTGAGGCGGTGTCGGTCGGAAGTCTGGAGCGCCAACGCAAACACAAAGTACACGACCAGAAGGAACACCATGAAATAGAGCGCCAGGTACGTCTCGTGTAGCATCAGCTCGTTGACGTCCATCTTACTCTCCTCATCCAGTATGGTAATTGACTGAGCCCCATAAACAGAGTAAATTGAACTGCAACTGTGAGAAAAAAAAAACTATTAACTCTCAATAAATTCCTTGCTGGTTATATTCACAAGCTATCAACACATCTCCTATTACAAGTGTCCACAAAAGTACTTCCTGCAATCAAGTCATGTATTACGGGTGATCAAGGAGCTACTATCCCTCACCTACAAGTCGTGTAATCCCACGATGATTCCTCGGCAATGACGGTACAGTTCTGGGCGTGCCATTGGTTGTCGCCCCACACCAAGCACTGCGACCACCAGCCACTAACGAGGAAATCTGCCCCACTTATCTTGCTGGAGTTGAATCTTGCCCTGAGATGGAAAACAAAACATACCCATTACTACTTCAAGAAACAAAATATTACATAGCTAATTTATATACCCAGAGCTATATATTCAACTTAATGCCATAAGAATGTGAATGTGTTCTACACTATGGTTTATGACGATGGTTATTCATGTCCAAGTTCCTTATTTGTCTATATAAAAGTTCCAAGCAGGTAAGACTTTAAAACGACCACAATACTAATACATGAACCAAGTAACAGCAAATTCTAACACCAATTCATTCTACGTTTATTCATTATTTGTGTCCAAGTTCCTTAATTGTCTATATAAAATTTCCAAGCAGGTCAGACTTTAAAAGGACTACAATATTAATGTCAACATAAAGTAAATTGTAACTAACTCAAAACAGCAATTCTCTTACCAGTTATTTTCATAGCTATTTTTGTCCATTATGATGAGGAGCTTCTTGCCATGTGCGAGGGTGTCAGGGGGGATGAAGAGTGTCACTCGAGAAGGTTCACTTGTGGCTATTAACTCCTGCTTAAACAAAGGCTCCTTGAGGCTCTGCATGCTCTGGCTAAACACAAATAAACAAAAATATTAAAATCAAAACAAATTCAACAAATAATTTAATCCCTTCACTACTGGGATGCCATCTTCATTAACTATTTTAATTGGTCAACACCAGATTTTATTCAGCTCATAGGTGATGCCATACACAAGGGGGGTTAACTTCAAACAATCATTAATTAAAATGGTCATAGATTACTACCATTCATTACAATTATCACAAATCCAATTCAACAGTGAAGACAAAATCTACCAAAATACTCTATGTAAAATACAGCAAAATATAATTACTTACTACGACAATATCAAGTCAACACAAATACTCGACTTTCTTAAAATTAGAATAAAATTGCTTCATCTTAACACATTACAGAGGACAATTGAGGAGTACTAAGCTGGTAGGGTGCTGTGTGTGTGTGTGTGTGTTTATACTGTTACCTTCAGTCTAAATATCTACATTGAACACCTCAACTTTTATACAAGCATCTTAGCTGGCACTGCACACAACTGCCCTCACTTGCTACAGTTACCCATTCACAGCTGGGTATACCAAGAGTGCCCTGGGCATGACCGGTGACTGCCACACTCCTAGGGTCTATATACCTGGCTCATGCACCTCTTGATCCAATTAATCTCATCCATTCTCTCCGTATGCCTCTGTGTAGGACTTTGCCATTACCTGTAAGTACTCTCAACACCCAGCTGCCCTCTTTACCTCTGAACAGGGTTTCTCGTCTTTCAGCGTCACATTACACATGCATCTCACTATTCTCATTTCAGCGCTGGTTCAAATTTACTCAAGTCATCCTCTTTAACTACCACACATCATCACAATTCTCACACCAGCTGCATACATTCTTCCCTTTACTCGAGGAAGATTCAATACCTCGGTTCCGTTGGTCTTGTAGGAAGAGCGTGCCCAGCCTCCACACACCTGAAACTTTGCTCACCTAATAAAGCGAACAAAGGTCCAAAGCAAGTCTCAGGTGGGGGATGGATGGGCCTTCTCACAGCAGCTGCAGAGAGTAAGATAAACTCCCTCTTCCTTAACCTGTTAACAGTGGGACCATGACATTTGCATGACCCTGATGATGGCAGCAACAGTTCTATCCTGTATATAACAAAGTTGGATATTTCAAAGTTGTCCATATACTAATTATTTGTCTTCTTCAGTAGTCAAATGCACCTATCCAATTGTTTTCATTTTGGAAGATATTCAAGTAGCATTTTCTTCTCAACAGCCAAATGCATTTCCAGTATTTTCATTTTGGCTGAAGTTCTCACGTTGTCTTTTCAGTAGCTAAGTGCAACCTCCTAAACCCCCTGAAGCTTTGCTCAACGACTTTTAATGCACGGCTGGGCAAGGTTCCAGGAGGTTAGGTTATTACAATCCGTCTCCTGTGTGTAGAAACTCGGCCCTCTCAAGTCATCAGTTTTAGGTAGATATTCGAAGGTACACAGCACGTAACTTAGGTGATACTGTACATAGTTCACATGTAAATAGATAAAAAAAAAAGAACAACACTTGCATCCAAACCTCTTTCTACAGTACATTACAGCCAATCCAAAAGGTATCAATTCCCCAGGTGCCCTAACCTAACCGACACATGAGCACATCACAGTATCGATACCTTATGGAGAGGCCTTACATCACCGCAACACTCACCAAATAAGCAAAACGGCCGCCACTGGGTAATCCGAGTTCAGTATCTTGGTGAACTGCAGCAAGATGTGGAAGGCCATGGAATCGTACTGTGCGGTCACCTCAAACTCATACACGCTCAGGGACGCCGGCGTGAGAACTCCTGGACGTCGGAAATCGTACCCAGCCGCCATGAGTAGCTGAGATCGCTTTATTTTAACCTGCAGGAAAAGAGAAGAAAATACTGAGTCCAAAACCGAATAAGGAAAACAGTTCATATATTCATTGTGCTTAGTTCCAATTTACAATGGTCTTATGTGAGTGACTAATACCCTCCAATTTCTGTATATAAACTACTAATACTAACCAGATGCAACAAGGCAAAGGATTATTATATATGTTACAATCTAGAGGTTATGTTGACTTCCTACAAAACCCATTCAATCACTGTAAAAAATGTCTTTTCTCTTCCAACTGGACATGACCCAATGATAAACATACAAGGTGGAACAAACTATGAAGAATTACCCTCCTTTTGCATATACAAAACCACACCAAAGTCAGGGAAGAATGGGAGGAGTGTCAGTACACCTCATTGGATTATATCAGCGTCATTCCTAAAGACGTTGATTTCTGTCTCAAGTGAATGTACGTTAAGTAAGAAACTCACCTTGACTCTACGGACAAAGTCGCTCGATAGTTGTAAGCAGACGTTGATGACTTCCGAGGTGATTGGATCCTGTGTAACATTGTACGGTGTTTGTAAATGAATGAGAGATTGGACCAAATGTACTCCACTTGGTATACTGTCCGGCTCAAAGAGAAACGGCAATGACCGGTTCCATCGATTTATGTTTTCCGCGTCGGACAGGAAACCGTGGAATTTGAGATAGTCCGTTGACATCACCAGCGGCTCTTCTTCGAGAAACCTGGTTCGTGTGTCTGCCTCCATAACCTCTTGGAGAAGATTGATGAGCGAGTTGATTAGATGGACGGAAGTTGAATTCCAGTCGTATATCTCTCTCTGCTTATCTAACATGGCTGATGAAAGAATAAAGAACTCCTGGACAACCTGAAACACAAGAGAAATTTGTTATATGAAATGATTCACACACAAAAGCATTATATAAATCCTATGTCAAGTAGATAAAATAAAAGTAGAAACATAATATTACATTATACCTGTTCTAAAAAAGAGGGAATGATGAGGTTAGGTATAAAGTACATTAAGTATTAGAAATGCTTTAGAAATATTATCAATACAGTATACTGTACATAATATAATCATACCTCATCTTTAAGTTCCGGTGAAGAACTAAACCATATTCTCTTGGCTGCCATGTGCATGTTTTCAAAGACCCGAATGTATGTGTGGCTGGAGATGTACTCCTGGGCGTCCACGATAATCTGAAGTGCCGTTAAGACCTGAAGTACTTCCATCTCATCTCTTATGGGAAGTTCACCTATTATCTCTGCTAGGTGGTCCCTGGCGCATGATTTCAGTAGGTTCACCTCCACGAAGATGTCCCTCCTGTCGTTCTGACTGGTCTTCAAGTATTGGAGTCCTAATTTGTACGTCGGGTCGGTTACCGTCTCGAGGCTTTCCTGACAGCTGGCGTAGAAGATGATGGCCAAGATGTTGTCGATGATGGTCTCGGTTACCTCAGTAGTCACTATGAGGTTTAGTTCCCACGCCAGAGACCGCACTTGTTGCAGCAAAAGAGAAGGGCTTTCATTTTCTAGGGTGGAAATCTCCTGGAAGATGGACAATATACCATCTCCAGTCCTTGATATTGGGTATACCACTAACTCTATCACATCAGGATATTTGTTAGAGACTCCTTTACCATCAATGGCCTTCACCGACACATAAACTTTGTAATCGTTGGACTCCAGGCCCGAGGGAAGCGTGAAATCGAACGAGGTTCTTGCTCCATAATAAAAAACAGTCTTAACATCCCGCCACAAGAAGTGATAACTCCACTCCAGCAGGACTGGGTAGTAATGGCCTTTGACTTCATCACAAGTTCCACTAAACCAGGAACCATTTCTCCCAGGCAGCGGTGACACTCGACAGCTTTCCTTTAAAAGACAAGAAAATGTCATTAAAACAGTGTACAGTAGCTATAAGTATTTCATAACCTTTTCCTCTTTTATCAATATTTTTTAAGGATAGGATTACAGGTTTCAGAGTACAATAAATACACAAACATAGCATCAGGCACCACAAAAAAAAGTCTCCAATGACGTGTACTGACATAACAGCACAGTATTGAACAAAATCACGCATTACATTTTTACTCGACATATGGACTTGACAGCTAAGACTCAATAATTATGTATCTAATCACCATACAGTACAAGTAATTATCGTATGTTATAATCAGTAAATCTGCAAAATGGAAGGTAAGTTAGCAAAATGTATCTCACTTAACCTAACAAATTTCGGATTTGACAGACAAACACATCACCACAGCATGAAAACAAGGAATGGTGAAGTGTATATTGTAAACACTGCTTGTTGTCCGATCAGCAATGTTAAGCAACGTTGGGTTTGGTTAGTATTTGGATGGGTGACCGCCCGTGAACACCAGTTACTGTCGGCATAAAGACCCTAATGGAAATAAACATCTCAATGGCTTTGTCGGCTATCCTTGGTTAAATTATCAGGATGAAAAACAAATGGATGGCTGGCCCAGATATTTTATGTTTTTGTGGTAATCTGAGCATATTAAAATTCAATCAAGTGGTACAGTATTTACTAACTAACTAACACTACTGTATAAACAAACACTTCAACTCACGACTGTAGGAGGAGGTGAGAACGTTATGAGTTGTGAGGCTGATCCAGTGTTGTTAGTGAGGGGGTTGAAGGTGTCTAGGTACAAGATATACTGGGAGTCGGTAATTAACAGGTCCGTATACAGCACCACGATGGGAGCACGGGTGCCTGTGGAGGTCAGGAGCTGCCCAAACAGGTACACAGTTATCTGGGCCTCGTCTGTCACAAATGGGTTGTCCTCGAATCTGGGGAGGAAAAATAAATAAATAAATATATTGTGAGACGTGCTGTAACTAGAATATTTTTTTTTGAATGACTATAAATTTTCATCTATTAAGTGGGATGTTTCAGCTCAATATCCGAAACCAGATGTTCACTAAAAGCCAAAACTCCAAAATAAAAACTACAGTGATATCTCCATTAGCCGGAAAAATTGGTGCAGAGCACTTCCGGGCGAGAGAGATTTCCGGGTTACAAGACGACTCTCTGAAAGCCGGAAAAAATTCCTCATTCCCAGAATTTTATGGGGAATGGAAAAATTTTCTCGGAATTTCTGGAAAATGTGCCCCTCGGGAAATTGTTCCTAAAGCCGGAAATTTCTGGAAAATTTCGGCTTTGGGAACGATTTTCTGAAAATTTTCAATTCCGGTTATCGGCGAGTTCCGGGTTTGAGGGAATCCGGCTAACAGAGCTATTACTTATATAAATATAAGGTTAAAAAGGCAAAATGTACATTAACTAACTAAATTTTTTTTTTACCTGTACACAAGATTTCAGTCAGTACAGGTAAGTTACAAACACATACAGATAAATAAGGAGATTTTCATGGATGCTGCCAAACACGTTAATATGTTTTCTTAACAATATAAACTAACTCCAGTAAAATTCTAGTTTCATACAACCAGTGCCGGATTTAGACCTGTGGAGGCCCATGGGCAGCGTCTTTGTGGAGGCCCCCCTCATTACAACTACCCAAGAGGGTGGGGTGGAAAGTGAAGCGAGCCTAAACATCTGGGAGTAAGCCCCCTGGGAAAATTTTGAAATTTGAACACCTCTTTGGAGAATTTTGAAGCCATATGCAGTTATATTGAGGAAATTAGAACATTGAGAAATTTTTAATTAACTGTATATTTATTGACAGTGTACAAATTCCTAACACACACACAAAAGTGAGACATGACTGGAGTCATTCATGTGGTTTCAAGTCGACCAGCCCTGATATAGCTACTACCGCACATGTCAAAATTTTTCAAGAGACTTCACAGAAAAGAATATATTATTAGTTATTACAGAGAGATGATTCTTTGCATTATTAATTAGATAAACCTCTACTCAAATAATGGGTCTGTCCAAGAATGCATGTATAGGCTTCTTTAAGTCCAAGGTCAGATGGTCAGAATAAGAATTAACTCAACTATAAATAAAATTGAAGTTTTGCATCCAATAGTAACACAAATAAACAATTTAATGAATTGGAATTCATGAATTTCAAGGAGTAGCTACCCTAATTTCTATCACGCTTCTTGCTGAACATAGTTTTACGTGATGGAATAGATAAACATGAATTTTAAAGAATGAAAGTAAAAATAATCCTAATGAATAAACAAATAAATAAAATATTGTAATATGTGGAGGCCCCTGGGCAGCTGCCCACTCCTGAATCCGGCCCTGCATACAATCATAGAATCTGGGATTTTTAAAACACGCAATACATAGAACGATAGAACCTGACCTAACCAACAAAGAAACCTGACCTTACCTAACTTCCTAGCCGGGGTAGGGATGGGGTGGGGGAGAGGGGATAAATTCTGCCATATTAAAGTGAAAATACTAAGGTACTGTACTTATTTGGATATCTGATACCAATGAAAGCAACTGTTTTGAAATGCCATGGTATAATTTTACGTTTTTTTTGTGGCCATGAGAGTAATATGGTTGGATGTAAACAAAGTGAGGTGACAGCTTCAGCCGTGTACGATAACAAGAGAATGCTGTAAAACGCATCCAATATTTACGTGTGGTAAAAGTCACAATAAATATTAGATACCGTATATAGATTGTAAATGTCAAAATAGGCTGCAATTATGTGTACCTGATACCCTTAACTTCACCCCCGGTTAGGTTAAATATAGTTCCTGAGTTCTGTGATTAGGTTAGTTTGATTTAGGGTTAAGTTTGGTTAGTTTGATTTAGGGTTAAGTTTGGTTAGTTTGATTTAGGGTTAAGTTTGGTTAAGTTAGGTTAGATATCTAAGTACGGGGATGACCGAAACTAAAAAAATTATCCAAATCAACATTCAGCCGCCATATTGAATTCTTGATACATGACGCCTCGTAATAAACGTTTCAATAACTCTCTAAAACATTTCCCCGAGATGATATATAAGACCCTAATTAACTACACATACTCTACAATATAGCCATACCTTATAAATAATAGACGGTGGATAGAAGCGTTGTAAATATGGGGTTATTTCCGGAGGTGAGGTGAACACACCCCCCCTCAGGACGCCGAGAGGTCAAGGCCAACACCGTTCGTAAAGGTTCGTAATTTTCAAATTTTATACCAAAATAAACAATAAATCATGGCCATAAATTCCTAGTGATTAATATGGTTTTAAAAATATTTTAAAATGTTTTATTTGAATATGTAACAAGGATTACTTACTAGTTAATTATAAAAAATAATTCGTAGTTTCCTGAAAAACCTAATTCAATTTCATGTACAGCATTTCGTATAATAAAGGCAGAAATATTCCTTTTACCAATATTAAATCGATATTATGATATAATTAATCCAAACCAACAAAGCTTTCTCATCTATGGGTTTAAATTACATAGAAATTAACGATACCGAAGAGGAATAATTATCAGAACTGTATCTAGCTTGCGCATTGATCCTTTTAATACAAGTGTAATATATCATACAACTTCGTTAAAGACAAGAGTATAGAAAAATTATATCACAGGGTAGCAAAAATAATCATAGATAAACGAATATATTTGAAGCTGCCTGTAAGTAATCACTCCTAAAGATAGTTGAAAGAGCTTCTCATTTTATTACAAGATCAAACGCACTTAAGTCAATATTCTTAAAAGATTTGTAAGATGAACATTTCCTTCGAAGTCATTATGTGAGAATTTAAACCTGATAAGAAATTAAAAAAATAACTAAGGAAACACAATACCGTTTTCTATATAAATTCTAGTTAATTTAAATAGAAACTTTTATTTCCTGAAGAAATTAATTTAGTCAATATCATTTACGGAGTTCGGTACAACTTAATCCTCCCTCCATAGCGAACAAATATTTCCGTGTATCTATTTAGCATTTGAGATCCTGATTCACCTAGCAAGTCTCTGGGAGTCAATAACAAGCGTCATCACCATGGTTATTCTGGTGATTTTCGGAAGCGTTATTACTAAACTTGAGGCAACTGGGGAGGTGTTTGTTGGTTTAAGTGGTGGAGGTTTCTCTGGCAAGTTAGACCAGCGGCGGCAATAGAGGCGCAACGTGTCAGAGAGATCTCGTCATTCACCAACAGAGGACGCTACTGTGAGCTAACTTTACGTATCTTATAGACAAAGTTTGCACAGCGTTTCGGGAGAATGGCCGGCTGAAATGCCAAGGTTCTCCAAGCGGAAAGCCTAGCCGCCTCCAAGACTTACTTCCCCCGCCTTCCTGCACACTATATATAAACTATCTCTTCCTTAGATAAAATGTCCACAATAATGACGGCCATCTTCCTCAAAAGAAACAATACCAGAAAAAGAAAACAACTCAATTATGTTAGCAGGGAAACTTTTCGTCGAGTTTTCTCTTCCCTCCCCAGGAATAATTTTCCCTGACACCTCTGAACTCAGTGACGAGGCACCGGGATGGGGGAACTTTGTACAAGGTGGGAGAGCTCAAGTAGGTGCTGTTCACTACAATACAAACACTTAAAATAATCCTATTCCCCTTTACTTTTTTAACCTAACTATAAAACACTACAAGACACAAGAAAAAAAATATACGCACACCACTGAAATAAAAACGACAGAAACAAAAGAAAAAGGTTCAATTTAAAGATTAACTTGTGTACAGAACAGCGTATGGCATCACTTAGTTTTAAACCCGCCATAACAAGGTTAGAGGTTCAGGGTTTGGCCGTGTCCCTCTCCTACTCTGGGGGCCATGGCTTACCTCACTACATCTTGCTGCTTGCAGATGTGACGCGGCCCGGCCTTTGATTTGCGTTTAAAATTACTGTGCGTGTATCTGTCCGTCTGTCCGATTACTAGACGGGGTAAAATATTAATGTCTTTCTGTCTGTCCGATTATCAGCTGGACGGGGTAAAATATTTAATCGTTTATTTGTTCAGTCAATAGATAATAATGAAGACGCATTCAATTGAAACAAATATAATGTGACATTCCCATCAACATATTACAATTAATATTTGAAAATAATAAAGATTTAACGCCGAATAAAGCACATTAAATACATTGATTTACGAGCATATATTCTATGATGAATTTAATATAAACTGTATTTAAAATTATTGAGTCATATTAAACCTCATAAATACAACCCCTCAGCCAATCAAAGCCCAGGATTTACTAGCCAAAATATATACCAGCCAATCAAAGCCTAGTATTTCCCCACCCAAATTTAAAAATCACAAAATATCCCACTTACGCCATTATTTCCAGATAGGCGAGTACATCCACCCATTAACAGGTAACTTTCCCCATTTATGTATTAATTAAAAAGAAAATCCACCCGATAAGGTATTTGTGATTTATAATGACATCCCGTATAAAGATTACACAGCTGGTGAGTACATCCAATCAACAAGCAGCTTCTCTCACTCTAAAAACTTCTCCACCAATTAAACGCCAGACTTCACCCACCAACCACCCGTGTTCAGCTTGACAGCCTGGCAAGAAAAAACAGCAGACCCAATCAGCAGCATCTCCAAGCATAACCAATTATTAGGCAGCATTTCCAAGGAGACCCAATCAGCATCTCCTGGCAGAACCAATCAACAGGCAGCATCTCCAAGTATATACCCAATTAACAAGCCCTACCATGTGGATCCAGTCAACAAGCAGCCTCTCCAAGCATAGCCCAATCACCAAGTAGCATCTCCAAGCAGAACCAATCACCAAGTAGCATCTCCAAGCAGAACCAATCAACAAGACAGCATCTCCTCGCCCCGAAACTTGCGCCAATTAAATCCTAGTTTATTCCTCCCACCAAAATGTCTTCAGCTGCGAGGGAGGGGCGGGGAGGGGGGAAGGCGGGGGAGGGAGGCGAAGTGTAAAGGAGAGACAGACAGACAGACAGGGGGCGCCACAAGCCTAGAATAAACATGCCCCCACACAAAGCCTTAGGACGCTCATAATCTCAGGACTCTTCCAGAACACGGCAGAAATGTTCATCCATTCGCCATTGTCGCACGTCCAAGGAATACTGACGAGCCTTGTGTATTTTGCCTGAATAATACAACTCCTTCCGGGCCAGACGAAAACGACGCTGCTCAAATGTACACAAAAGAGAGCGAGGGTAAATATGGATGAGAATGGTGCGGTGAAAGGCCTGAGCGTCGCCCTAGAGGGATAGCCATTATGGTTTAGGTTTCCCCGTTCAACTTGTAGTCTCCACAACCATCCATCCATCCATCCATCCTTCCTTCCTTCCTTCCTTCCTTCCATCCTTCCTTCCAGCCATCCATCCTTCCTTCCTTCCAGCCATCCATCCAATCGTTCTTCTAAAAGGTGCTGCTGACATGAGTGGACTAAATCCCATTGGACTAAATCCCACCGAGATAAATCCCATTATTTATAAGGGTTATTGGATTATGTATACGAGATAAATTCACTATGCATAATATTACTACAATTTCGTTCTATCTCAATCTGACTCTACCTCTTTCCTTTCTCTCTTCTACCTCTACCACCTCTTTTATCAGCTCCTCCCTCTCTCTCTCTATTTACTGAAGTGAGCCAGGACGCCATCACGGAGCCAACATGATGGATGAGGGAGACAAGTGTAAACATAACACAGTCGCCATGGCGCTCTGACGTCACTTCCGTCTCCTCGTCAGGTGATATTGAAAGTGTTCCAAAATTCTTCGATTTTAACCTTGAACGAAAGCAATTTATTTTTTTCGTTATTTTCCTTTTAAACTTGAGAAAATAAACGTCATTTTTTTTTCTACCAGGATGAATGCCAGGTTTTAACAAGCGAATACAACTTTCCTGAACGTATACAAGGTTTTTAAAATGGTGAATGTAACATTTTTTTTTATACACGAATCAATAGAAGTCATTTTGACGTGAATGAAGGCAAGTGATGATGCAGCATGTGTGAGTGGACGTGACGGACGGACAGACGGACAGTTGAATGGCCGGCTGGACACAAGGGCGGAAGACACGGAACACACACACACACACACACACACACAGACAGACTTAAATAACACACAATGTCACCTTGACTAGCGGCAGCTGAAACACTTAAACGAAATAAACCAACAGACCACCAAAATCAGTTATAATTCATTATAATAACGTTATATATCTTTCTAGAGTATTATATGAAGTTTGACATAATTTAAACTGATATAACACAATATTATATACACAAATAAGAAATAATGCCGCGAAAAAGAATATTGAGGTGAAGTCTGTTGGGTTTAGTTCGTTTTTGCTTTTCAGAACTGCAGTTGACGATTTTAGTGGACGGAAAGACAGACAGACAATTTGTTATCACCTCGTCGACATAATTTGTTCATCACCAGAGGAGCCAATGGTCTTGTCGAGGGTATTGGTGATATAAGCGTTGGGTGGCTTCCTGCGACACAGCTCCCAGTTTTCAGACCGGCAGCCGAAGTTAGGGACATCTTGGTGAGTGTCCGCTGTAAAGAATCAAAGAAAACGGGCCATTAATTTTTGACGTAAAGACAATGAAAAGTTATTCAAGCAGACACGTCAAAAAATATATGAAAAAAAAACGAAATCATTTGTTATTTATAAAAGTTACGGTCCCTCCAGATATCATTACTCCCTACAGAATCATGTAACGCACTCTTTAACACACTCGGGAGTCTTATATTAGGGAGCGAGTGAGTGCGTGCTCGAGTTTGCGTGTGTCGGCGTGTGCGTGCGTCCGGTGATTAGGGAAGCGTGTAATTAACTGGAGACTGGGTCGTTCTCTCTCGTGTGTGTGTGTGTGTATGTGTGTGTGTGTGTGTGTGTGTGTGCGCGCGCGAAGATGAATAAATGTAAAGAGTAAAAGAGAATAAATGAGGGAATTGAACGAGACGTGACAGTGAGGTTGAATAAAGCAGACGAGAGGAACTTGGAGAAAAGGGAGAAGTGGTTGAGAGGGGAGTGGGAGGGTGGGAAAGGGAAGGAAAGTGTAGATGGGAGAGGAAAGGAAGGTGTATATGGGATAGGGAAAGGAGGAGGAAGGGGGGGAGGGAGGGTAGGAGAGGGGTGTGAGGGAAGGACGAAGGAAGAGAAGGAGTGTCGGGGAGGGAAGGAAGGAAGGAAGGAGGAAGAGGGGTGTGAAGGAAGGAAGGAAGAGAGAGAAAGTGAAAAATCCCATTTCTTGTCAGTTCTCCCTCCACACAGCCACACAAAAGACGGAATAAACCCACCCAGGTGAGCGATGTCAACAGAGAAAACCTGGAGCAGCCCACCAAGAAACGAAACTCGATGAAAAATGGCGTAGGATCTGGTTGCGACGACTTGCTTTCTGATTCCAGTTCCAGAGTCATATTTAGACCTCATCACCCCCCCCTCCCTTCTCCCCTCCCCTCTCCTCCCCCTCTCCACCAACCACTTGCAAGAAAATGAAAGAAAAAAGATAAAAGAAAAAAGAATTAAGTGTAATTTAAAAACTCCACCAACCACTTGCAAGAAAATGAAAGAAAAAAGATAAAAGAAAAAAGAATTAAGTGTAATTTAAAAACTCACCGAGGATTTCGCCAAATGAAACCACACGAGAGAGAGAGAGAGAGAGAGAGATATGAGGAAAAATGGAGAGGGGGAAGAGGAGACAAAGAGAGGAAGAGAGAGGAGAAAGAATAGGAGAAAAGATGAGGGGGAGAGGGGAAATAAGAAGAGGAGGAAGAATAAGAGGGGAAGAAGAAAAAAGGAAAAGGGGTGGAGAGAGAAAGAGGGGAAGAAGGGAGAGGGGAAGAAATAAAACGAGGGGTAGAGAAGGGATAAGATAAAAGGCACAAAGAGGAGTGAAGACATGAGTGACTGAGGGAGAGAGATAGGGAGAGGTTCAAAGAGAGAGGGAGGAGGGAGGGAGGGGCAGAAGTGAAGGTAGGGGAGGGAGGGAGATGAAAGGGGAAAGAGGGAGAGGAGGAGGAAGAGGTAGAGGAGGAAGAAGAGGAAGGTCAGGATGAGGAGGAAAGAGGAAGGAGGAGGAAGGAAGGAGGAAGAAGGAAGGTGGGAGGAAGAAGAGAGGAGAAGAGTGGGGAGGAAGAAGGAAGAAGGAGGTAGAGGAGGAAGAGGGAGGAAAGAGGGAGGAAGAGGAGGAAAGAGGAGGAAGAAGAGGAAGAAGGTGGGAGGAAGAAGGAAGAATGAGGGGAGGAAGGAGGGAGGAAGAAGAGGAAGGAGGGAGGAAGAAGAGGAAGGTGTGGAAGAAAGAGAAGAGGAAGAAGGTGGGAGGAAGAAGAGGAAGGTCAGGAGAGGAGGAGGAGGGAGGAAGAAGAAGGTGGGAGGAAGGAGGGTGGGAGGAAGAAGAGGAAGAGGTGGGAGGAAGAAGGAAGGTGGGAGGAGGAGGAAGGAGGGGGAGAAGGAGGGGAGAAGGAAGGGGAGGAAGGAGGGAGGAAGAAGAGGAAGAAGGTAGGAGGAAGAGGAGGAAGAAGAGAAAATGAATATATTAATAGTTGTCTCTGGGGAACTTTTCATATTTCGATAATCAATGAAAATTAATTTGGGCTTCTAATAATTAACTCCGGACCTACAATAAAAATGTGAGCTGGGCTTTAGGGGAGAGAGTGAGGGAGATGAGGAGTGGGGTGGTGTGGGGGTGGTGTGGGGGTGGGGAGTGGGGTGGGGAGTGGGGTGGTGTGGGGAGGGGTGATGAGGGAGATAGAGTGGGGTGGTGTGGGGAGTGGGGTGGGTGTGGGGAGATGTGGGGAGTGGGGTGGGTGTGGGAGTGGTGTGGGTGGTGTGGGGAGTGGGGTGGTGTGGGGAGTGGGGTGGTGTGGAGAGTGAGGTGGTGTGGGAGTGGGGTGGTGTGGGGAGTGGGGTGGTGTGGGGAGTGGGGTGGTGTGGGGAGATGAGGAGTGGGGTGGTATGGGGTGGTGTGGGGAGTGGGGTGGATGTGGGGAGGGGGGGTAATGTATGGGGAGTGGGGTGAGGTGTGGGAGTAGGGTGGTGTGGGGAGATGAGGGAGAAGGGAGGGGAGGTGAGGAGAATGAAGATAAGGTGGCAGGGGAGAGAAGGGGACTAGACTGCACTCTACCACAACTACCACCACCATCAAAACCACCACCACCACCACAATACCGCCTATCACATCCACCACAATCACAACAACCACCACCACCACTACAACCACCACAACCACAACAACCACCACAACCACCAACTACAACCATCACTATCGAAGAACCATAAACCACCAACAACAACCACCACTACCACCACCAACCACAACCACAACACTGGCAGCTGAACTAAGGGGTAGATGGAGGTCTGCTTGTCACCTCCTCTATCAAATGACTACCATCCGTTCTAGCCATTTAGGGGATCTCTCTCTCTCTCTCTCTCTCTCTCTCTCTCTCTCTCTCTCTCTCTCTCTCTCTCTCTTACACACCCAAACATCACCGACTAACACACACACACACACACACACACACACACACACACAGTACAAGTTAAGTTACGATAAATAATCCTCCTCTGACCTGAGATAAATATTAATGAGCAATATATTCCAAGAATATATGTGACGTCATTACCTGCTGTGTGTCGTCCAATTAGAAGACGTCTTGCAGAGTCATGTATAATTCTTAAGGCGATTCTATGTTTGTTTGAGGGTAGGGGTGGAGGGGGGGTAGAGAACACGAAATTCCTATCTAATTTAATTTAGTATTATATTCTTACATAATTAATGAAAATTTATATTCCAACATTAAGATATAAATTGATTCATATAAATTTAATGGTGATGTCATTTTATCTCTATATATATTTATTATTTCGATTTATATACCCAGTACAGATATATCTAATGCCTTGATAAAAACATAATAATTCACAGCCTGGCGACTCCCCATAGCGCATGCGCAGTACATCAAGCCACACCCTTTAAATAAAAAAATATCAAGCACTATCACATGAATTATTGTTTTAAGACCCTTTTACGCCATTTTTATAACGAAACGCTTCCCTCCCACTCCAGATAGTCCCCACGGTAAGTCCTCCCAAATAAGTGGATAATGAAAATGTAATTCCCCCCACCTGGCAACCCGCTCCATGTAAACACGACGGTCTGCTGGTCTAAAACCTCCCGCCAAAACCCTGATATGATCGAAGTTAGAGTCCAGAGCATCTGATACCTCAAGACGAATGGAGGAAATTGGATCCCAAGAATTCTCAACTTAAACCCCCCCAAAAAAGACATCAAATAAAAACTTTCAAAACCTTAAACTTTCTCCGGGTTTTACATCCGTTTTCACCGTGTGGAAGACGACGCCATTGCATGAATTTTCACCGCGGAGATAAAATTCAAAACATACCAAATACTTTAATTTTTTCCTAATTTCTCGTATATTATCCGTATAAAATATAATAAATAACACCAAGTCTATAGATAATATTTTATTTCATAGTTTCTTATCGTTAATAATACCTCAAGCTCGGGGTAAGTACTGAAAAATTTAGGAATGATTAAGATTTTGTTTATGAAGGTGCGGTCACCCCCGAGCCATCATGCATCACACACACACCTTGGCCACAATAATAAATACTTCACTTTACGACCAATCATAAAATAAGGGAGACATTATATAACAGCGTGTAAATACTTCGTTCGGTTCAAATATTCCTCGATAAAGGGAATATTCTTGATTGGTTTTAAATCTTCACTTAGGAGAATATTTCCCCTTTTCGACCCACCCACTGAGAAATATTCTTAAATCTTCACATATAAATAATATTCCCCAACACAACCAGTCAGGAATATCACCAAATCTTCACATACAAAGAATATTATCCATTTTAAAACCAGTCAGGAATATCACCAAATCTTCACATACAAAGAATATTATCCCTTTTAAAACCAGTTAGGAATATTCTTGAAATATTTACTTACGACAAATATTCCTCGAACGCGTCTTACAACAGCCAGTCTTGCTGTCATGTATATTCTGGGTATCTCGCGTCACCACCCGTCCAGTGACTTTAAATCTCCCTCGAGTACGACTTAACCCCTCGAGTACGACTTAACCCCTTGAGTACGATAACAACACCTGAGTACGATGAATTAACGGTATTAACCCCTTGAGTACGACTTAACCCCTTGAGTATGATAACCCCATGAGTACGATGACAGCCCCCTGAGTATAATAATTCCATCATACGTGAGGGAATAGATCATTGTATGCAAACGAACTAAACAGCGAAATCTACCTAATACGAACAGCGAAAACAACGAAAACAAACATCCCTAAACAATGGCAATAGGAATAAGCAAAATACGAAATCAGGGAAATGTTTAACGTTAATGACAACGATGATGATAATAAACCAGGGAAGTATTTTAATATTTTACATAAGATAATGACAATGGAAATAAGTAAAATAGGGAAATAAGAGAAGTATTTTCATAATTTACATCAGACAACCACAATAAAAATACGAAATCAGCGAAGTATTTTGCTATTTTTCC